TGTATGATTTTCATGAATTCATAGTAATTTGAATACGAATATCCTGCGTTCAACGTTGTTATCCGTGAAAATTTTCTTTTCCCTTTTTGCCGTGGTAAAAACTTGAAAAAATGTTGAAAATGTTGAAACCGTTGAGGACAGAAAAAAAGAGAGGGTAAAAACATGCTAATTTTCGCCACGGAAATGTTGAAAAATCAGTGATTACCTATTTTTTTCCAGATTGCCCCGACTTTCTTCCTTTTGTCTATGTAGATCTGTTCTTGTCATACCAGAGACAAAAAAACCTTAGTTCTTGATGCAAACTACGAAAGCTTCATTACGTTTGAGAAACATGCTTGACGAACAAAGGTCGGTAAATACATAATACACGATACACTGGCAGAATTAAAAAAAATGGTGTTTTTCCGTCTTGTCCAGGAGCGTGGGACAAAGAAAACAGTCTGAGTCCCCAGGAGGAGACGAACCTCACACCTCACCGTATGTGCGTCATCGGAGAGCAGATCTGAATGTCTTAGGTTCAATTCCTCATGGGCACTCGGAATTATTCCTGTCCCACGTTCTTGGAATGACGAAAAAACATCTCTCCATAAAAGAATAGTTATCACTTTACGCATTCCATGAGAAATCTAACGAATACTATTGCCACTGTGGAAGCTATCGTATTCTTGGTTATGTTCTTGAGCACGTGCCAGCGTTACTGGCCTCTGGAGGCGCTGGCACTAAACTACAATGTTCTTGAAAAGACTTCAAATGAGGCATTCCGAGTCCTCTGGGTTGAAGTCTCTTTTGTCAACCATAAAAACATCGTTTGTGGAATAATTTATGGTCAACACAATTCGCCCGATTATTTCCTAACGTATCCAGATAAGACAGTAGAAATATTGGTGTCTGATGATAAGAACGTTTATATTCTGGTTGATTTTAATATAGATCTACTCAAGTGTGAATCATCTCAAATGAGCCAGGATTTCTTACTCTCTCTTCGAAGCTGTTACCTTATTACAACAGAGGACAAACTGACGCACGTTATAGAACTTCTGCCAAGTTGATTGACCCCATCTTCGTCAACAGTCCTTACAAAGTCCTCGCTAGCGGAAACATTATTTTTGATATTAGTGATCAATTTTCGCAGTTCTTCTGTATCACAACGTCAGCGAAAGATAAACTTCAACAAAATAAAAATATAACAGTACGTGACTATTAAAGATTCTCCGCTGATCGCTTTCACGACGAGCTGTCTGAAGTTGACTGGAATCGAATAATTGCAAATGGAACGATTTCTGTGTACAAATTGTTTTCATCGTTTTACAACAAATACAATACAATTGTTAGCATACACGCCCCCATGAAAGATTATCCAATCGCAAAGCAAAGCAGCGATCTAAACCTTGGATAACTAATGGAATTAAAGCGGCGATTAAAGTTACAAAAATAAATTATATGAAACTGGAGACAAAGTTAAAAAATCCAACTTTGTAATTTTTCATCCTTACCAAAAGCAACTTGCTTCCCAACCAAAACTTTCCATGTTTGATGATGAAAAGAATATGTATATTCGCCTCGAGTCTAAAGTTTCCATAAAATACCTGGACGTTCTTATTGATCAGAATCTCTCTTGGATATACCACATTCTATTGTTACAAAAAATTAGTAAAAATGTTGGGCTACTTGCAAAGCTACGCCACTCTGTACCTCGACCAATATTACTGAATATCTATAAGTCACTAATTCATTGTTATTTAACCTATGGTCTTGCTGCCTGGTGTCAGGCATGCAAGACCTATCTTAACAAAATTCCAATTCTTCAGAAAAGAGATCTTCGTCTGCTGTACTTCACAGACTGGCATGTCCATCCAAATCCTATATTTCTCGAAACTAAGGTGTTTAAAATAACTTCTTTGTTATGAGTCCGTATCATCCTTAATGCACGATATCAATGATGATAAAGCCCCAGCAAACATGTTAAATTTATTTAAGAAAAGTCTAATATTCACTCATACAATACACGATCGTCCACGTCTGGAAAGTTCTATGTTAAAAGTTCGAGACTAGAAATACAAAACAATTCTTTCTCTCGGCTCGGAGTAAAGCTGTGGAATAAGATACCAAGCTATATAACGGATATTCAAAAGAAAGCTTTCAATGAGTTCTCCGCAAATTACTATTTGATATCTTAGAGGATAACTATATTCAAATCCCCATGATTATTTTAAAAAGTAGGTACATCGATACACTTGCTAAGGGTTTAAATGTCTGCTTTTCTTTTTCTGTGTTATCAATTAAGAGTCAATGACTCCTTGTCTTTAGATGTTAAATAATTTGTGTTATTCATGTACTTGTCTTGCTCCGCCAATTAGCTCTCTAGCTATTTGTGGGGCAAACTATCTCACTTTTTATTTGTTTGTACAAAGAACAAAAAATAAATTAATTTTCTCTAGACACATAATACAAAGGTATAGATGTTAATACGTTTTATTTATATTTCGACTGGCGACAGTCTTTTCCTCTTTTAAAGGTTATTTTATTTTCTAGCATCGTAAGAGCATAGAAACCTTGTAAATATGCTGCCAATCATTATTATTACTGATCATTTTATTATGATTATTATTATTATTATTATCATAAATATCAAAATTATTAAAGTTTCGTAGTAAAAGTGCATGGGACCAAACGTGCCCTATAATTAACTAATAAAGGGGATAACGAGGTAACTTAGTATTATCAACTGAGTTGATAATGTAAATTGGCTACCGTAAAGAGTTCAAAGCTTACGTTTCGACTTTCTTCGCCTTTCGTCAAAGTGAAATATTTCTATCAATTACAGACATTTTATTTCAAAGTCAACAGATTTTTTTTCCCTCTTTCTCGTGATAGTCTGTTGTAATAGTGTTATCTCCAGTATAGCAGCGCTACTCTATCGAACAAGCCGAAAGATGAACATTTTACATGTTAAATCGATAAAACTTACTCAAATCCTGTGTGTCTGTTGTAGTTACTGGCGATTTCTGCCGTTTTCAGCTTGCTTTACCATCACTGTTATTCCTGACGTGTAAAATGTTCATATTTCGAAATATTTATCGTTGTAAGTCGACCATATTTCGTTCCCCACACTATCTTATATCACGGTTCCTCTCGAATCATACAACGCATGACGCTTTCATGAATTAATCGTTGGCTTTTTCTCGAGAAGTGAGCTTGGACCGCCTGCGATACAAATTGTTTCGAGGGACGTAGTGGATCTTAAAAATTAAATAGTTTTATTTACAGACCTTTTTTTTCCTTAGCATTAGGTACATGCAAATTACAAACTTAAAAGGAGTCGACTGACTGTTGTGTGAGGGAAGTTTTCACTTCAACCTCTAGCGTACTATCACGATGGTTTAATGAGACTGAACAACTTCTCTGAAATGTTGCCTTTCTATCTAAACTTGTGGTGGCCAAGACCACTTCTCTCCAATAATCAGATTCATTTGCTGAAGTTAAAAAACTTTTTGGCTAGTTAGCTTAGTGGTAGAGCACTGCCCAACAACCCGAGCAAACTGGTACAGCAGCGGTATCTCAGGGATCATGGATTCAACTGACGTACAAGCCTGGATTTTTTCAGGATTCATCTTTTTTTTCGCTTAAGTAGTGGTCAACACGGTGCAATGATCACTTTTATCTTCATTTATTAACCTGCAGTTCAAATACGTATATGATACTCTTAGGGACGGAACATTATTTTTCTTGAGGGGGGGGCGAGAAATATTGAAAAAAAACTGTCTGCGGGGTCTGAAAAGACAAAGTAAATTATTTGCAAACGTGATAGGTTACGTAAAAGAATATTTGCAGAGAAGTCAACAAATGGAAGCATTAGTATAAAAATTTACACAATTTGGGCACTAAAAAGTGGTCACTCTGTACTACGTAAATAACAAATCTGAAAATAGCTGAATATTTCATAAAAAGATAGGAATTTATCGTGGCGGTTAAATCTCAACGTTACTTGTCAACATTTTGTCCTATTACAAAACTTCATATATCAGGTACTTTTCTCAAAACTGTATTAAACAAATAAATAGTCTTCAATCTTGGCTATATTTATCATTGATACTTAAAATGACCTATTGCAATCATTTCAAATCAGCAATATGCCTGCCTTCGCCCCTGGTACCACAGGGCGAGTGTTACGAGTATGATAGCTTGTGGGAACGTGGGAAAAAAGCCCCCTTGCCTATTTCGTGTCGTATGCCCTTTATTTGCGTCAGTAGCTGCCAAAAAATTTTAAAAGGTGAGTGGAGTGTATATCGACAAAATAAGTGGCTATAGCACTATTGATTACGTTCTTCGTAAAATAGTTCAATAAGGCGATAGTAATATTTAGCACAAATAAAAAGAACACTGAAAAAAACTGGAAAAATTTGTTTGCACGAAGATGATATTAGAAAAAAAAGACTTTTGTGGAGACGTATGTGTTTAAAAAAAATGTTTGCCGAAGAAAATTTCTCATACTCTCTCTAGAAAAATAATGGTCCGTCCCTTATATCCACATTTCTTCTTTAAGCTTCAGTCGCAAAGCAATAAGAACATGCTCCCAAGGCCTGGCGAAGAGCAGCGAGAATTCTAAAGCTCCCCTTTCAGTTCCTTTCAAGATTTTGGTCGCTAAGTGTCACACTGTAGACCCAAATTACCCCGTTACCACATAGGATCAGTACTCTTATTCTCCATACTGCTCTCTATGGATTTTTTAAGATGCTGACAAAGAGAATTTGTTCAAGAATCAAGGTCCTCATTAAATAGCGATCATCTTTCTTCTCACGACCCGAATATTGACTTCAGGAGGGATACTGTAGATAAAATTAGTCTTCTAGTCATTCTAAGAGGTTCAGGAACAGTGGCAAGCGTTCAATGTGTGTACAGTCCTCATGGGTTGTAATGTTCGAGAGCGGGCCCCTACTTACAAGCGGAGTAATCTGTGTGGGACGTTAGGCCTTGCTCGTAGCATTCCCTTTCGACATAACCGCGGGGGATACTCGACACTGCCTGGTGGAGCAATCAAACGGTAGCATATGCCTCCTGAAACGGTCACTCTGCAAGCTGTATAACACAGGATTGATAGCAGAATTAAGAGTGACCAAGACGATGCTTGTTGTGTGTACGGCGGAGAACAGTTGCTGTGCGCTGAATGAAGAGAAGACGTACACAACCAGGACGGGTATCCAACAGATCGAGTAAACCACGCTTACGGTGACCACTAACCGGGCGGACTTTCTGGTGTAACGTAGCTTGCTTTGTTGGACTATGGTCGAGGTAACCAAAGGACGAAACCACAGCTTGTAAACCAGCTTAGAATACAAGTAACTCATGATGGAAATCGGTAGAACGCCGTAAAACAAGGCGCATAGTGGGCTGTGAACTTGCGCGAAACTCGTCGTGGGCCATTGGAACAGGCAGAACTCGCTAACAGGGTCGTAACGTGCATCCAGGAATAGGGGTAAGTTCCATGATGTGGCTAACACTCAGCTGAATACAATAACACATTTTAATTTGGCGGTTGTTGGCCGCTTGCGCTCGTCGTAGGGGAATTTAATGGCGAGATAGCGCTCTAGCGCTATGCAGATGAGGGAGAAGGCGGAAGTGAGCGCACCGACCCATACAAATGCTTCCCCTGTGAACAATTGGCAAACCACGTCACCGGCTCTTCCCTTCGGATGTTCGAACAACAGTGGGAAGATATAGCGCGCCGCGATAAAAATCGCCACAGTTATATCCGAAGCCGCTAGGTTGACTAAGAGATAGTTCATAGGGGTGCGCATTATTCGGTTGCGGTAGACTACCAGGCAAACCAAGGTATTGCCGATGAGGTCCACAATTACCAAGATGCAGAAAGCGGCAGTGATTCCAATTTGGGTGGCCTCTGAGTATTTGTAAAGGGACATCTTTGTAGCTTTATTTCTGCTCAAGAATGAGAACATAGCCTTTCGTTAATGAAATATGTAGCGCGCATGCTTCTGGAAAGTAAAAAAGGACCAGTAATTTGTAACATACGATAGTGAAACGGAACTTCGGATTTTGGACTTAGCTTGCGCAGAAATATTGAATATAGATAAGCTATGGTCTAAGTACTTTTACTTGTTAATCCTCTTATTTTTATTCAAAATGCTTCACTCAAGCTTATACTTATTGTTCATCAAAAATGAAACAAAAATTTTCAATTGAAGCCAAATCTGACCACTTAAAGAAAATTATTTTCGACCGACACTTGGATCTCCTACGTTTATTTGTCCATCCTTTCGATTTGTGACGCACATAGCTCACAGTTGACCTTCATTTCCTACACATTGATCAAGTGTTTACTCAATCAAAGTATTCGTAAAACTTGACAGCGATCTTCGGCATCTTTGAACTGCGAATGTTTCTATGGTCACTAAGTCAAGTCTGAGTAAATATTCCTCACACCGAAAAATAGACTCCAAGTGCTCTCACTTCAAAGTTACAGGCTGTAGTTTAAAGTTAGCAAATACTGTCTCCCTACTGACCGTTTTATAATGAAAACAACGCTGGATATCGCAGCTAATCTTGTTCTCCTAGTTTTCTTTCCATTAGTTTTGAAGAGAAGACGTGCGTCAAAAATCTCATCAAAAATTCGGCTAGATTTCCTTGAGAGAAAGATTGCCTCGGGGCAAAATGAAGATCGAAGATCGCTTTCGCTCGCAGTTCACATATATGTTTTTCATATAATCACATTCAATTATTCATCACTTCACGGATTTATTACGAACCAACATAATAATCAGCTCCCAGTAGGCTTTTTAGCTCAGTTGGCAGAGCGCTGCACCGGTATCGCAGAAGCCGTGGTTTCAAGGCCCGTACAGGCCTGATCTTTTGACACCTTATTTTCACTACTACTTAAGTAGTTGTCATTACTGCGAAAATCGCTTTCAGATTTATTTCTTAATCATCAGTTAACATCTATGATTTTTATGAATTCACAGCCATTTGAATAAGAATATCTTGCGTTCAACGTTGTTATCCGTGAAAATTTTCTTTTCTCTTTTTGCCGCGGCAATAACTTGTAAAAAATGTTGAAATCGTTGAGAAAAGAAAAAAAAGATGGTAAAAACATGCTAGTTTTCGCCACAGAAAAGTCTGTTCCAAGAGAATATGAACTCTTCTCTATTTCTAAGTGGTCTCTATTACCTTTTTATCACTAAGGAGTTGCACAACCCATAGTTACTCAAGCTCTAATAGTACATTGTTTGGAACTGACTTTTCAAAGAGGACACTGAAGAAGTTTTAGGTAGTTGCGTCTATATCTTACCTCAAGCTTTGTTAACTCTTGTTAAGGATGCTCTAGTTAAAATTCTGTGTACAAACCTTCTCTATTTAGTTTCGCTGGTACACTTTTCCTTCAAGTGCACCTGTCTCGTTACCTGTTAAGATTCTAAATGACATACCGTTTGTTTTTTGCTAAGATTTTGCACCTGTATTTCCATGCAAAACAAACATTTACTAAAAGATGGATTTGAAGACAAACTGTTCAAACCAAGATGTCGAAAATTTACGGTCAATGTGTTTCAGTTGCGTAGTGTCATTTTGATGCACTTGCAAACCGGACCAAAGATTCTTAGAATTTACTTCAGGATTAAAAAAAGTTAAGGAGTAAAAAGACCAAAGGTGTTAGAACTTTTCCGCAGGGTGTAAGAAAACTACGGAAATAATTAGCAAGCATTTTCATTGTTTAGATACTCTTCCAGTAATCACCTTTTTCAATAAAAGCTTTGTCACTTTCTAATTAGTGTTTCCTCTTAGTGCATCCTCACATGAATACAGTGTATTAGGGAAGGTTATAATTATTGCGGTTGTGTTACAAACATCACTATAAAGAATATAGTACAATAAGACAATGAAAAAAGAAACCAAAATAATTTTCAATTCGTTGTTACTAAGGAAATCTGAAAAATGAAGAAGGACAGGAAGAAAAGAATGTTTAAATATTATGTTAATTGTGTGGACTTTGGGACACCCAAATAGTTCTAAGAACTCATCGAGTGGGTGTCTCAGAGCAAATAATTTAAACAAAAGGAATACGGTGTCAATAACAATTTAAATAAAAAGTATTATTTTTCATATTAACTACAAAGAATTAAAATAAATTTACACAAACTATTAAATAATTAATAAAATTAATAACACTATTATAACCGTCAATCATAGAATTTTTATATTTTGACGAAATCTAAAAAAGGGAGTGATTTGTTCAACATTAGTTGGTAATGAATTCCAGAGTGTGGTACCAGTGTAACGAAGAGAACGAAGACGATATTGAGTTGTTTGAACTGGGTTTACAAATAGGTTCTCATTCAGTGATTCACGTGTATAATGTGAAAGAACAGAAGATATTGGCTTAAAGTAATCAATAAAACAAGGAGGAGTTATTTTGTGAGACAACTGATAAACAAAAGAAAGATATACGAACATTTTCGTAAGGACCAATGGATTTGTTATTGTCCATAATTGAGATATATAGACTCAACTTCAAATGAGGTTATAGGGGAAAGGAACATTGATTCAGGAAAATTGCCATTTATAAAAGAGGTAGGACGGCAATTCCCCTGTGGAACATCTTTGTCAGTGTTTCTACCCACATTAACAAAACAATTGTTTAAAATGTTGGCAAGAGCACAGGGACTGTCAATAATAAGTAACTTTACTAATGTTTATGATTGATCTAATTCCAGACCAGATTTTTTAAATATTATTCCTGTTACACAAAAAGTAATTCTTGAAGTAATTAGACTTGCTAGCTTTGTTATCTTTAACAACACTTTTCCTGAATTTCTTGTGAAGAGATATCAGATTTGGATCTGGTTGCTTACTTTTCATGATCAGGGAATATAGCTTATCTCTGTATCCTATCTTAGCAAGTATGTTTTTTGTGATTCATGGTTTAGTAGATAACTTTATTTCATGCTTTGAGAGCTTCCTGCATGGTGCATGACAGTTAATAAACTGGGAGATTTGATCATTAAAAACATCAAATTTATTGTTAGCATCTAAATCATTATTAAAAATGTTAGCCCAGTCAAGAAGTGAGAAATTATTGATAAATTTTTCTTCATCAAACTTACAATAATCATTTTTATAATAGTTTAGAGTTTTCTAATTTACCTTAACATTATCTACAATCAAAAATTGGGGAAGATGATCAGAGATTCTTAGGACTTAGTTACCACTAGTACATATGCAGCATAGGTATTTGTAAATATATTATCGATTAGGGTTGCAGATCTTTCAATAATACGTCTTGGTTGTAAAATAAAGGGAAGAAGAAAATAGGAGTTCAGCATTAGCAGGAAATCATCGGATTCCGGATGGCTTTCGCAGTTTAATAGGTTAATATTAAAGTCTCTATTAGAAAGATATTCTTATTTCCTCTTGATACCTGAGATAAAATTGACTCAAAATGTTCCTTAAACCTTACAGGATTGAAATATGGGTGCCTATAGGCATAACAGTAAAGGATGTTTTTAGCTTTAGTGTTAATAATTTCAACCCAAATGGTTTCAAATTCATCATCAGTTACACTCAGGTCAGTTCGTTTCGTAGGTATTTAAAGATCAGCCAATCTGGAAGGTTGAGAATGTAGTGTGAAACCATCCAGATCAACATTCATTTTGAAACCTGTATGAAAGTTTTTCCCTATTTCGTGCAACTTGAAAGTGATTGGAAATTATACGTTAATGGTTTGTGATGTGTAAATCACAATGTTTTCAGCGAGCTAAGGTCCGTACAAAAGCGACCGAGGGCCAATATTCCCCGTTACGGCCCGAGAAATTGAGGTTAGTGAGTATTTTACTGATAATAGTGTACATGAAAAAATCTCGCACGTCTGATTCGCTGAAAAACGAGTGATTTCTCATGTAACAGGAGCGCAAAATTGTAACACGAGTGCAAATTAACGAGTGCTGCGAAAATTTACGTTTGTTTTTACTCTTTGTGATGTACATTATTAACGAATAACATTATGATTTCTCGTGCAATTTGGTATAATAAGAAAATGCAAATTTTCCTAAAGATTTCAAATTGCAATCGCCCTACGGGCTCATGCAATTTTGTTGTCTTTGAAAAAATTACTTGTTCTTATTAACACCAAATTGCACTCGGACTCATGTTATTACCTGTACTGATATGACACTCCGGCCGGACCTAACTCAGTCATTATTCATTTTATCTTTCTTTTTGCTTTTAGTTCCGAGCTCGCTGGGTTACACGGCTTTTTAAGGCCCTGCTAACGCCATCGCGTACAGCCCTCAGGCGAAGATTTTTGTCTAAGGTAGTTTCAAAATCTCAGTTTAAACGTATGTTTATTAGACCTCATTTACTATTTAAGTTTGAATATGCACAGTTATATACATATACAAGAGAATATCAGCTTATTTCCTCTAGATACATGATATAAAGTTATAGGTGTACATACATTAGATTTCCACAGGTGACAGTCATTTCCACTTTTAAAGGTTATTTTGTTTTCTGGCATCGGAAGAGCATAGAGATCCTGTAAATATGCTCTCAATCCTTATTATTATTACTAATCATTTATTATTATTATTATTATTATCATCATAAATATAATAATTATCAAAGTTTTTTAATAAAAGTGCGCGGGACCAAACGTGCCCTAAAATGATCTAATAACGGAGGTAACAAGGTAATTTAGTATTCTCAACTGAATTGATAACGTAACGTTGGCCATATATTAAAACCTTTCAAGGCTGCCCAGCCGCTTCTTCAAGCAAGCGCGCTTCTTCACGGAAAGAAAAAAAGTCATCAATTTAATGGTTTGTTGACGATTAAATTCGCGACAAAGCCCATAAGACAATACACAATACTATGAAAGCGTTTAAATGAATACTTTCAAGGTCTTGATGCACTGAAAGGGGTTTTATTATGACAATAGACCGCTCTAACAGTAGATATTTCAAATATAATTGGTTATGACGCTTTTTAATTCTTCGCTTGAGACAGACAGCTTTCTCCCAACTTGTTTGGCGCGCATTACAACAGGCCAGCAAAAATAATTAAAAATACTTGTACCTTCGCTTCAGTTTCGATTTCTTTTACGATAGTTGTGTGGCATATTCCATTCGTATTTTAAGATACAAACTGTCGTCCTTTCTCTACCTCGAAATTCTGCGTTTATTTGCGGGAAAAAGGAGAGAACTTAACACAGCCGACAGCCCGCTCTCCATGTAACAAATTTACCCTTCCGTCCCCCGGCAAGTTTGCCGTTGCTCTAGACAACTTTTCCCTAAGCCCACCCCGAGAAAGAAAGATTTTGTCACATTCAGGTCATTAACGAAGTTTTTGAATCTCGCGCTCGGAAATCGGATACGCGTCGGTTCTTTCAAACCTTTGTTCTTATAACAAAAGAGCCTCAAAGCTGTCAACAATGACAATGCCCATAAAAGGATTAAAAAATTGTGCCATCGTTAGCAAAATCCCAACCCAAAGTTTGATATGCCCCTGAAAACCAAGTGACCCAGCCTCCCACCCCTCCGAAAAAAAAGTCGACCATATTTCGTTCCCCATACCATTCCATATAACGTGTTCTAGTTTTCAACGGTTCCTCTCGCAACTTAGCACCGAGTCACACAACGCCTGACACTTTCATGAATTAATCGTTGGCTTTTTCTCAAGATGTGAGCTTGGGCCGCCTGTGATACAAATTGTTTCGAGGGACGTAGTGGAATGAAATAATTAGGCGATGCAATTTAATTAACAAACACTCCCGCCCAAACTTGGGTATGTATGTCAACCCTTTTGTCGCGGTTCATCAGAGGCGATTTTGTTGTTTTTGTGCGCTACTAAATAAAATATACATACAAGCCGTGAGTATACAACGGTACATCAGCTAAGCCTTAATTAAGTACAAGGAAATCACAAACTTAAAAGGAATCGACTGATTGTTATGTGAGGGGAGTTTTTACTTGAACCTCTGGCGTACTTTCACAATGGTTTAGTGAGACTAAACAACTTCTCTGAAATGTTGCCTTTCTATCCAGACTTGCAATGGCCACGACCACTTTTCTCCAATAATCAGATTAGGTCACTGAAGTTAAAACATTTTTGGAAACATTCGAGTTTTAACCCATCTCTAAGCTCTCAGTTGGCTTGTCAGGCTAAGTGGTGGAGCACTACCCTACAACCTGAGCCGACAAACCGGTGCGGCAGGGTTATCTCATTTATTAATCTGCAGTTCAAATACGTACATGATACTCTTAGGGACAGACCATTATTTTCCTTGGGGGGGGGTGAGAAATATTGAAAAAAAACTGTCTGCAGGGTCTGAAAAGACGAAATAAATTGTTTGCAAACGTGATAGGGTAAATAAAAAAATGTTTGCAGAGAAGTCAGGTAAGATATGAAAAACTATTACATAAACTGAATAAAATTAAGTCACAAATGGAGGCATTAGAATAAAGATTAACACAATTTGGGCGCTAAAATGTGGTGACTGTATTACGCAGATAACAAATCTGAAAATAGTTGAATACTTCTTGAAAAAAAAGGGAATTTATCGTGGCAGTTAAATCTCAACGTTGCTTGTCAACATTTTGTCCTACTACAAAACTTTATATATCAGGTACTTTTCTCAAAACTGTATTAAACAACTAAATATTCTTTAATCCTAGCTATATTACCATTGCTACTTTAAAGGTTATTTGGAGCGACCTATGGCAACGGCAATCATTTCAAATCAGCAATGTGCCTGCCCTCGCCCCTGATATCACAAGCCGGGTGGTACGAGTATGATAGCTCGTGGGAACATCATCAAAGAGGATCAGGACTTCGTTACTATGGAATCGCGAAAAAAGCCCGCTACTTCCTTTACCTATTTCCTGTTGTATGCCCTTTATTTGCGTCAGTAGCTGCGTCAGTAGCTGCCTCAAAGGTGATTGGGGTGTACATCGACAAAATACATGGCTATGGCACTATTAATGACGTTCTTCGTAAAATAGTTCAATAAGACAGTGGTAATATTTAGCACAGATAAAAAGAACACTGAAAATCAAAGTGCTCTGTGAGCAAACTCGTGAATTGAAAAGAAAAGGTTGGAAGTAAATGTGGGTGAAAAGTGAAATTTACTGTCTTTCGTTGTAAATATTAGAAAACACAAGGCAATACTGTCTTAATGAAAACATCAACGATTCCCTCTTTATCAAATGAGACAAACGGGAACGAGTTTTGAGTAATATAACTAAGCCAAGCCTGCCACCATCATTTTGGATCTTCGCCTGGGAAGATTTAAGTCACGTGCTAGGCAACGTATAATCAATAACAAGATAGAATTTCATTTCAGGCCTATTTATCAATTTTGTGGTGTGTAACTTTCGCATTTTAGTACGTTGTATGTATGTTGAATCTTCAAATTGTCTTGAAACTTAAAAGAAAATTGTTCTTTAAAAATTCACTGAAAATCGGTAGCTAAAATTGTTTGTTTAGGTGTTATTTGATTTTCGTGTTAACTTGATATTTCGTCAGTCGCCGACATCTTTTGTTGCTTCACACAGGAAAAACACACACGACGAAACGTAATGATCAATTTTGTCCTCAATCTCACGCCATAACAGAAAAAGCTTTTGAACATCTGTAAACTCCGACCGCATCGCAGTAAGTAATATTTTCAATGAATCTTCGGATTGTTTTCAAGTTCAAGGATAGTAAATTACAATTTTATGAAAAACGAAGATTGTTCTGTTATTTCAGTGTGAATCCTTGCATGCCTGCCAGTCGCTGGCGCCGCTTGTTGAAACTAAAACGAAAAAAAAAACTCTTTTAAGATTATCATTGGCTTCTTTTTCACCCCACCACTATTCTTAGCAACAAAGGTCGCCATTTCGTCTGTTTATTACTCGCCAAAAACTATCAAATGCACTCAAAAGCCTAAAATCTGAAAAAAGTTTACAGGAATCAACCAATCGAGCGAGCGAGCGAGCGAGCGAATGGCATTCCCCACATCGTATCTATAACTCGCTCTTGCGCATGCGCGCAATTCACGAGTTAAAAACTGGAAAAAAATTGTTTGCACGAAGATGATGTCGGAAAAAAAACTTTTGCGGAGACGTATATGTTTAAAAAAAATGTTTGCCGATGAACATTTCTCGTACACCCCTCCAGAAAAATAATGGTCCGTCCCCTATATCCACAGTCCTTCTTTACGCTTCAGTCGCAAAGTAATAAAACCATGCTCACGAGGCCAGGCGAAGAGCAGCGAGAATGCTAAATCATCTTTCTTTTCACGACCCGAATATTGACTTCAGGAGAGAAACTGTAGATAAAATTAGTCTTTTAGTCATTCTAAGAGGTTAAGAAACATTGGCAAGCGTTCAATATTGTTGTAATTTTCAAGCGACAGGGCCCCTACTTACAAGCGAAGGAATCTGTGTAGGACGTGAGGCCTTCCTCGAAGGATTCCTTCTCCACATAATCGCGGGGGGTACTCGACACTGCCTGGTAGAGCAACCAAACGGTAGCAGCGCCAGCATATGCCTCCTGAAACGGTCACTCTGCCAGCTATATAACACAGGATTGATAGCAGAATTAAAAGTGACCAAGACGATGCTTGTCGTGTGTACGGCGGAGTACAGTTGCTGCGTGCTGAATGAAGAGATGACGTACACTGCCAGGTTGGGTATCCAACAGATCGCGTAAACCACGCTTACAGTGACCACTAACCGGGCGGACTTTCTGGTGTAACGTAGCTTGCTCCGTTGGACCATGTCCGAGGTAACCAAAGGACGAAACTACAGCTTGTAAACCAGCTTAGAATACAAGTAACTCATGATGGAAATCGGTAGAACCCCGTACAACAAGGCGCACAGTAGGCTGTGAACTTTCGGGAAACTCGCTGTGGGCCATTGGAACAGGCAGAACTCGCTAACATGGTCGTAACGTACATACAGGAAAAGGGGTAAGTTCCATGAAGCGGCGAACACCCAGCCCAATACAGCAACATACTTTAACTTGGCGTTTGTTACCCGCTTGTGCTCGTCGTAGGGGAATTTAATAGCGAGATAGCGCTCCACCGCTATGCAGACGAGGGAGGAAGTGGAGGCGAGTGCACCGACCCATACAAATGCTTCCCCTGTGAACAACTGGCAAACCACGTCACCGGATCTTCCTTTCGGATGCTCGAACAGCAGTAGGAAGATATAGCGCACCGCGATGAAAATCGCCACAGTTATATCCGAAGCCGCTAGGTTGACCAAAAGATAGTTCATAGGGGTGCGCATTATTCGGTTACGGTAGACTACCAGGCAAACCAAGGTATTGCCGATGAGGTCTGCAATTACCAAGAAGCAGAAAGCGGCAGTGATTCCAATTTGGGCGGCTTCTGAGTATTTGTAAAGGGACATCCTCGTGGATGTATTTCTGCTCAAGAATGAGAACACAGCGTAACGTTAGTGAAATATGTAACGTGCATGCTTCTGAAAAGTAAAAAAGGAACAGCTATTTCTGAAATACGATACTCAAACGGAATTTCAGATATTGGACTTAGATTGCGCAGAAATGTTGAATATAGGTAAGCTATCGTCTATGTACTTGTACTTATCAATCCATTTTTTTATTTAAAATGCTTCACTCGAGCTTATATGATATTGTTGATCAAAACTGAGACAAAAATTTTCGATTTGAGGCGAATTTGACCACCAAAAGGACAGTGAACGCTTCATGCTTGTGATTGGACTGTGTAACAGGTCAGTACACATCATGTACGCACGTAGTTGTCGCACATTTCTCGGAGTCAACTTTGTTGTTGCTTTTTTTTCATTTATTTTTGTGAACATTTATTTTCGACCGACACTTGGATCTCCTTCGTTTATTTGCCCATCCTTTCGATTTGTGACGCACATCGCCCTCAGTTGGCTTTCATTCAATAACAATAATACTTATATAGCGCCGATATCAATATTACTCCTTTATATTGATCAAGTGTTTACTCAGTCAAAGTGTTTGTAAAACTTGGCAGCGATCTTCGGCTTCTGAACAGCGAATGTTTCCATGGTCACTCAGTGAAGTCCAAATAAATATTCCTTACCACGAAAATAGACTCCAAGTGCTCCCACTATATAGTTATAAGCTGTAGTTTGAAGCTAGTAAATACTGTCTCCTAACTGACCGTTTTATATTGAAAACAACGCTGGATATCGCAGCTAATCTTGCTCTCCTAGTTTTTCTTTCCACTCATTCTGAAGAGAAGACGTGCGTCCAAAATCCCTATCAGAATTTGACTTAATTTCCTTGAGAGCAGGATTGCCTCGGGGTAAAATATATTGTCTGTTTTTTCTGTGGCTGTGATGTGTATTGCGAGACCCTTGGATTTTGCTTACGGTGTCTTTTGATCTCGTGATGTTCCGTTCTCTCTTGGCTCACGTTGGCAATCAGCTTTTTGTCTCTTCCCCTCACGAGGAAAGCAACGACAGCGGCGAAAAAAAATTTGTCTAATGACAGTTCATCGAAACTTCTAATGTAATTTTATTATTTGATAAAATTATCGCTTTGAAGACGTCTGTTTTATACATTTTGGTGATAACAATACGGATTCTGAGGCAAGAAATCGGCTTAAAAAGTTGGTCAATGTCATCTACTGACTGACGACCAACTGGTCTTATTCATTAAGCGTTGAACTAAATATCTATAATGATGACTGCTGTGTTTAATTTTACTATTGACGGAAAAAAATATTGCTGGAAACCATGCTTCACTAGCAGATTTCAAAAACAATTCACGGGTTTCCGACGAACTAACATAATAACCAGCTGCCAGTTGGCTTGTTAGCTCAGTTGGTAGAGCACTGCACCAGTATCGCAAAAGCCATGGTTTCAAATCCCATACCGGCCTTATTTTTTTCAGAGCTTATTTTCACTACTGCTTAAGTAGTTCTCGTTACTGCGAAAATCGCTTTCATATTTATTTCTTGATCAGCATTCAATATCTATGATTTTCGTGAATTCACAGTCATTTGAATATGAATATCCAGCGTTCAACGTTGTTATCCGTGAAAATCTTCTTTTCCCTTTTTGTCGCGGTAATAACTTGAAAAAAACTGTGTAAATCGTTGAGAAAAGAAAAAAAATAGATGGTCAACACATGCTAATTTTCGCTACAGAAATGGTCACGTTTGAAGGTAAAACCTTCTCTGGCGAAGCTAGATTTGATGGCATTGAAAAAAATCAGTGACTACCTATTTTGTTCAAGATTGCCCCGACTTTCTTTTTATTGTCTTTGTAGATCTGTTCTTGTCAAACCTGAGACAAAAAAAACCTTAGTTCTTGATACTAAAAAAGCTTGATAACGTTTGAGAAACATGCTTGACGAACAGAGTCGGTGAATAGATAAAGGATGCACCGGCAGAATTAAAAAAGATGGTGTTTTCCGTCTTGTCCAGGAGCGTGAGACAAAGAAAGCAGTCCGAGTCCACAAGAGTATACGAACCTAAGACCTTCTCACGGTAGAGTCTCTGTGGCTCATTGGAGAACAGATCTGAATGTCTAAGGTTCAATTCCTTATGCACACGGAATTCTTCCTTTCCCACGTTCTTAGAATGAAGAAAAAACATCTCTCTATAAAAGAATAGTTATCACTTTACGCATTCCATGAGAAATCTAACGAATACTATTGCCACTGTAGAAGCTAGTGTATTCTAGGTTATGTTCTTGAGAAGGTGCCAACGCCACTAGCCTCTGAAGGCGCTGGCCTCCTAGTTGATCAATCACTAACCTACAATTTTCTTGAAAAAAATATCAAATGAGGCATTCCAAGTCCTCTGAATTGAAATCTCTTTTGTCAACCATAAAAACATCATTTGTGGAATAATTTATGGTCAACACAATTCGCCCAATTATTTCCTGACGTATTTAGGTAAGACAGTAGAAATATTGGTATCTGATGACAAGAACTTTTATATCATGGGTGATTTTAATATAGATCTACTCGAGTGTGAATCATCTAAAATAAGCCAGGAATTTTTTAATCTCTCTTCGAAGCTGTTATCTTATTCCAACAAGACAAACCGAAGCGCGTTCATAGAACTTCTGCTACGTTGATTGACAACATCTTCGTTAACGATCCTCGCAAACTTCTCGCTAGCGGAGACATTATTTCTGATATTAGTGATCATTTTTCGCAGTTCTATATCACAACTTCAGCGAAAGATCAACAAGTTAAAAAATATAAAATATGTGACTAAGATTCTCCGCTGGTCGCTTTCACTATGAGCTGTCCGAAGCTGACTGGAATCGAATAATTGCAAATGGAACGAATTCTGTGAACAAATTGTTTTCATCGTTTTACAACAAATATAATACCATTGTCAACAAACACGCCCCCATGAAAAAATTATCTAATCGTAAAGCAAAGCAGCTATCTAAACCTTGGATAACTAATGGAATTAGAGCGGCGACTAAATTTAAAAATAAATTATATGCAACTGGAGACAAAGTTAGGTAGAAACACTATAGAAATAAAATTTGTACACTGATACACTTGAGCAAAAGGAGATATTATGATACATTTTTCGAAAATAATATGAGCAACATGAAAAAAAACCTGGCAAGGAATCAATGAACTTTTACATCAACGGAAAAGAAACTTAAAAGTCATATCCGCACGAAAGGATTTTAATAGTCGCAACAAAATTGTAAAGGAAGGTTCGCGGATACCTAACGTTATTAATAAACACCTTGCAACAGCCGGAAACAGACCTGCTAATAACCTGCTCTTTCTCCAAAAACGTCATCTAAACTATGTTGATAAGTGCAAATCTCCAATTTCATCCTTCCTTTTCAACCAGTTTTAACTGAAGAATTATTGTCAGAAATATTTCTTGTACCGAATGATAAATCTTATGGTTTATACTCCTCACCTACCAAACTCTTCAAATGTTCAAGTGCCGTCATAGCTCCTGAACTTATCCATCAAAGCTCAAAATTGCTAAAATTACGCCAATATTTAAGAGAAATGATGATACTGACGCAAACAACTATAGACCTATCTCTTTACTTTCAAATTTTGAAAGAGTATTCGACAAAATTATTTAAAACAGATTGACGAGCTATATAAAGAAACACCAACTTTGTATTCCTCTCAACACGGCTTTCGTAAGGAGCATTCAACCCAACACGCAATATTAGATATTGCTAATGATATACAGACAAACATGAATCAACGATTGCTATCCTGTGGAGTATTCATTGATCTTAAAAAGGCTTTCGAAACCGTCGATCACGACATTTTGCTTGATAAGTTCAATCACTATGGCTTTCGTGGATTAATTAATTAATGATTAGTTCTCCACATATCTCAAAAATCATCGCACGCAAACAACGCAAGAAGGCCATCATATAGCAGATAGAGCGGGCTTTGAATGTGGTGCTCCTCAAGGATCAATTCTTGGACCATTGCTTTTTTTGCTATATGTCAATGATATCCATAGATGCTCGAATAAATTTAGGTTTTACCTCTTAACAAACGACACTAATATTTTGTATGCGGAAAAAAATCTGAGAGATCTTGAGACAATAGTCGACAATGAGCTACAAAATCTTTATAGCTGGTTGACAGCCAACAAACTAACACTTAACATTAAAAAATCCAACTTTGTAATTTTTCATCCTTATCAAAAGCGACTTGCTTTCCAACCAAAACTTTGCATGTTTGATAATGAAAAGAATATATATGTTTACCTCGAGTCTAAAGTTTACATAAAATACCTTGGAAATACCACGTCGATTCTATTGTTACAAAAATTAGTGAAAATGTTGGGCTAATTGCAAAGCCACGCTACTCTGTACCTCGACAAAATATTACTGAATATCTATAAGTCACTAATTCATCCTTATTTAACCTATGGTCTTGCTGCCTGGTGTCAGGCATGCAAGGCTTATCTTAACAAAATTCTAATTCTTTAGAAAAGAGCTCTTCGTTTGCTGTACTTCGCAGACTGGCACGACCATGCAATTCCTTTATTTCTCGAAGCTAACGTGTTTCAAATAACTTTTCTTTATTATGAGTCGGTATCATCCTTAATGCACGATATCCAGCTTTTGTCCTCTGCCCCATGGCACGTTGGACAATTGTTTGATGACGTCGACGATCAAGTTTACGTGTGGAATGCACTTATGAACAATATACTGGACGAAGTGGCACCTGTGAAAAAAATGCGTGTGCGTGATAAAGATGTGCCCTACATGACGTCTCATTGGAAAAGTGCGATTAGAACTAAACGCAAAGCAAATGACAAGTACTTGAAAGACAAAACGCCAGAAAATTGGGAATTACGACGTAAAGCCAGAAACGAGGCCACTAAACAAAGAAGAATCGCCATCAAACAGTACTGGTATAATAAGTCAAACGA